GCATCAGCTGCTGTTTAAGAAAATGTAGCAGAGAAGATGCTAGAAGACACRCCAGGATTACGTTCAACTACTTAATGCAAGTCCCATAGACACAGGTAGTGCTTATCAACAACTGCAACATCCCACCCTTTTTATTCTAGGTGGTGGAGACCCTAACTCAGCAGGTTTCGGGTTTACAAAGTCTCACTGCTATCGGTGCTACCAGTATAGCACTGGACAGGTGTTGCTCTTCATCTGTTACTGTAAAGAGTGAACATCATTTCCCCCCAACAAGAATGCCTCTTTCAAGGCAATTCTCAAAGGTCTTTTCGTTTATTCTGCATGTGGGGTTTGGGGATTTTGTTTTGAGGCCTGGAAATGTAAGGTCACAATTCCAAGCCTATTCCCCAGTCAGTTGGCTTAGGTATTATACAGAYAGACATTTCTTCAGTTTTAACACATTTTGTTAGTCCTCTATCTTTTGATTCTCCAGCTCCAATCAATAGCACCATCACTATGTACCTTATCCATCCATTCCCATCATTCAAGCTTTCCAGCAAAGGTTGTGGAACGTGATTTCATACACTTTGAGTTAGTCCCACATCTGGGCAGAAAACTGGCCAGAAGCACGCTACGTGCAGACATCAGAGCAACAGCAAAGCAAACTGGTGGCTTTACTTCCTAGAAATCATTTCCCCTACAACTTAAAGGCGACCTCAGGAAGTAAAGCAYGTTTTACGACATTCAGCTGACTCAACTCAGAAATAAGCTCCACAGGACTCACGTATAAATATCCTGTGTTCAGTTGTTCCCACACTYCAGGTGAGTGGATACCCACCACCAGTTTATTCTGAGAAAAAAATGTGAGCRGAGGGGGGAAGGGGGTAACAGTTCACCTCACACAACAGGTGTCACACATAAATGATCAATTATGTTAAACTCACCCTTTCAAAGAAAACATTAAAATTACACATGTGAGACTATGCAAATATAATACCCTGAGGACAGAAAAACAAAAAAAAAAAGAAAAAAGGAAATAAAAAGGTCTTTTCTGTGGCAATACTACTGTATGTCTCCAATTTCATCTCATATTTAGCACAGTGTTTCAACACCAATAAACTACCTTAATTCAGATTTCCTTAACAAAATGTACCTCTTGTTGCTTTTTGTTGAAAATTCACATTTTAAAGAAGCATAAGAACACTTTAATAAACTGAACAACGTTGAATAAAAGAARTTTTTTCCCCAGCTATTCAAGCCTCGTTACTTCCAGTAATATAAACCAGCAAGGTTTGAAAATGTGATGCATTTCTTAAACTGCATTATTATACAAGCTCTATGTAGGTGCTGTATATAACGTTTCAACAGTCCCAGGAGCTAATTTAGTTAATAAACATTTCACATTAAACAAACTTACCCACATCCACTTTAAGATTTTAAATTTGACTGTAGTTTTAATATGCAGAATATAAGTTTATTTTTGAAGGTTCCAGTGATTTGATTATGTATAAATATTCCCACAGCATTTAAAATTTGTGTGTTTAAGACAGATTAAATATTGCTGGATATCAAAAATACACCTGCAAACCTCACACAGTGCACATCTGATACAAACAGTTTAGGAATCTTTTTATTCATATTGCTTAGAAGTAGCTAACAAACACCAGAGGCGAAAAAAAGAAAAAAAGAAAAAGGCAATGATTTAATTAAAATTAACAAAATGAGAAAACTGTATATTTACAAACTATAAAATAAAAAATGTGTATTATAGTTTTGCAAATTCTTGAATAAAGCAATCCATTAAATTCCAAACAGGCAATTCGGGAATTACAGTTCTGCATTCCTAACAAATGTGTGCATTTTCAGTATTTCATACTTTTCCCATATCATGGTTAAGTTCATAAAAATCTGTAAAGAATCTCATTACTTGACAAAAGTAAATAAAAATACTCCAAGCAAAAACATAYTAAACCGTCAGGCAAAGTATTTCAAGCTTCCTGTTAACAATCCCATTTTATATTTTATAATATGAAATACTATCACCAACAGGGCAAAGTCTAGTCAAACTGTATCAAAATATTCCAAAATACTGAAACAATATCAAAGTTCCACAAGCCCAAATAAAATTTGAAGTATGGGGTATCAGACAGACAGCCACTTTCCACTTTATATTTTAAAATGAGCTTTTTTTCATTCATGTAACTTTTTCCTGTGTCTATTTACTATAATTTACTACTACAGCAGGCTTCTGTATGGCCCTCAGTTAAAGTTTAGACTTCTGAGATTCTTCAGAGAAAAATTTGCCTTGTATGTAAAATGGTGCAATGCAGCAACGGCTAAACCGACAAGGTCATTTTTCACAGCACAAAAAACCTAAAAACTGAAATTCAAAAGTTGGAAAAACATAATACAGAGGAAAGGGCTCCCCCGAATAAAGGTACATTACCTTTTGACTATGACATGGGCCCTTAAGTCACAACACAACTTTCAGAAATTGCTACCAAAAAAAATTAGGGTGTGGCATGCTAACAATCTCAAGGTCATTCCTTAAAAAGGAAACAAAATCAGTAAAATGTTTTGTATTAAGCACCGACAGTAACCCCAGTCTGTCAAAGTAAACAGGGTATTCACAGGTTTTACAAAAAAAAAGTTGATAGATCATACCTCGATGCATTGCTGTGGACTGAACCCTCCTCTCCTTGGCTTTTGTCCTTATTTCTCATCATCTTTTTATTCTTAAATATTGAGAGGGGGGTCAGGGGTGTCTGTTTGCTTTGAAGTCCTGTGCCCAGGTATTTACTGTCAAAAGTTGAAAGAAAGGTAAGGTCCCAGCTCGTTTCACTGGCTTTCATTATCAGGAACAAAGTCCTGACGCTGCAATGATATTGTTATAACAATACACAACACTGATCAACACGGTAAAACGGAATTTAAAACAAATAATCATTTTTTTTAAACAAAAAATCGGAGAATAAACACGGTAGAGAAGCATCCTGCAAACTTTCCCAAAGTAACACAGGATTCAAATAATCTCTGTATCTTATTGCGTCATCCCAATACAGCTCAAATCGGTCGAAAATCAAAGGTCTAAAAACGGCAAAAATCTAAAAAATATTAATATTAATTGCCCACCTACCTGATCCATGCACCGCTGCCAGGACCAAGTCGATATTAGTTTCGGGTAGTGGAAAAACATTAGATCCAAAATATTTAGACTCGGAACGATAAAATACGAATTTCAGAAAATAAAAAAWATATATATATTCTAATCCCAAAAATATGCTGCCGATAAAGCAAAAGAAGCGATAATTAGTACAAAAATATCCGGGGGAAAAAGCTCATTAGGAGAGCGCACAAAAATGGAGGTACGCCATGGCTTCTAAGCTGGAAAAACAACGACCTGGGCTCTCTCCACGGCTTCTTCTTTCCAGCAAGGCACGAAAAGGGAGCCCTCAAAAGCTGCTTTTCTGCCCGAAAAAGGTCCGCTCGGCCCCCGATTAGTGCCTAGGAGAGGCAAGGGGCTATGGGGGCCCCCTGAGGCTGCCCGAAAGTTAGGGAAAGTTGCGTAAAGTGTTGGGGAAGGCACGGAGCTGAGCGCGCTCTCTCTAAGGCACAGCCGCCATCTAGAGCTCCTTCCCAGCTCTGAGCTCTGCCTTTGATTGACACTCTCTACATTTACCCCACAACTCAGGTGATGTACCATAGACCCACCCCTTCATTTCTACCAAAAAAAGAGATAGCCTCCACCTAAAGGGTGCCTGCTACCCCCCACAGCCCCAGCTTCCTCCAACTGCCCCAGCTGAGGGGGCACCTTAACCCCATGTGGCTCAGACACCCTTTGGAAACCAGAAAGAAATGCAATTTGCTCTTTTTGTTTTAAAGATTTGCTAAATATTTCAGGGCTGGGGCTAAAATTACTTCCTCCCTGGACAGGAAGTGGTGCTGTTACAAGCCATTTTGAAAGAATGGCAGTGGAGCTCATCGCCATGCTGTCAGCAACAGCCCACCTTGGGTGTCAACCCCACCCAAGGGGGAGCTTTTTCTAATTAAGTGGTAGTATCACCAGACAATAGCTCTTCCATTTGTCATCCAATACGCCATACCAAAAGCTTGAAGCAAGCGCCTCACAGCCTCCTAAGGAAAGCCCACAGTTGCTAATAACCCCATTCAACTCAACAGCGCCTCCCTGGTGGTTCTGCTTGAGAACAAAAATCCAAAAGCTGCACCATTTTCATCCATTAATAGAAGGTATCGCTGTAAAATAAATCTGATGCCATTAAGGCTTATTTCCGATTCACATTCTTAACCCATTAATGTTAGTTAACAGATTTTAATGTTAGTTAACAAATTACTCCTCAAAGCCGTGTAACAGCCAAGATCCAGAATTGGAAACCATGCAATTCCTCACATACAACAACTGAGCACCATGATGACATCTCATGAAGAAAATGGAGATCCATGCATCTCCATACCTCCTGCATCCYGACTACCATTTATCTCCCCGCAAGCAACAAATTAAAATACAAGGACCTCCTGCACACCAATAAGCCTCACAGCAAAACAGTGGAAGTGGTGAGTGGAGGCTGGGGTAGGAAGGGGTAACATGATAGCTRGACCTCCATAGGGACCATCCATGACACAGGGTCCCACCAACTTGAAAACATTGGCTTCTACCAGTAGAACCAAAAAATAAAAAAAAAACCTTTCAACTCCTACTCCACATCCTTGTCATCCAAGAACCCTCCAGCTACACCCTCCAACAACAAATCACCTTTCCAAATTAAATTTGAGTAAGCATACTGTGTTGTCATAGTCTAAAGAATTTTAGTTTATTTGTTACTTATAGAAGAACCTTTGCACCTAAACAACAAGAATTGAAACACACAACATAAGACAATTTCAATCAACTTTGTACAAGGCTAAGAAAATCCACTCATTGGAATGTGAAACCCTTAAGGCTGATCCCAGTACCAACTCCACCATATAACACATGGCAAAACAATCTTAAGTAGGCAAGAGTGTGTAATCAGAACAGCCAGATTAAACAGTTATGAACAATTATGGTAAAAATGGAGTATTTGCATAAATGTCCGAGCAAGTCAAATGGTTAACACACACAGATTTTGTTTTTTGTTTAAAGGAAATCTGAGATCTAGATCATCTCAGCACCAGATTTGCCTTCTCCTGGCCTTCTAGCACAAGGCAAAGAGGACAGTCTACAAACGTCAGGTGAAAACGGCATATGAAGCGCTAAGCCTTTTTGGTCCACACAATTTGAYGCATAAAAATATTTGAAATCATTTTTTTGAACATTAAAACATTTCAAAAATTCATTTGTAAAGGTTAACATGCTCTCTGTAGTAGTATCAAAAATACTTCATTTTTCTTATCAAATATAGTACAATATCATGTAGCTAAGTCTATATCAAATAGCTGTGACATATACAGGACAGATCAATTTTAGGACAGATAAGGCTGCTTAAAAATTAAGTTGTCCAGAAAACCTGTTCAAAGCTTATGTACATATACACAACAATGAATATACCTAGAAGTTACAAAAATTAGTTAGGAAAACCGCAGTTGTATGGAATGATTAAGGAAAATGTCCCTAGAAAACTATGAACATGCATTTTCATTGTCATATTTGCCCACCCTTCACATGGTATCAATTCCACRTTAAAGAAGCATTAGAAAATTCAGCAGAAATACCCTGACAATAGAGCAAATTCTGAAGCAGAAAGAAAATAAAAAGACGACAAAATGAACAAAATCCAAAACTAAAATTGATCACCTGAAAGAACCCGAGAGGATAAGAATTCACTGCGAGTTGTATCAAAATGAAGACAACTTTTAAATAAAATGCACAGTATTTTAAATCAAATATTTCATAAAATTTGTCTTGCCTTTGGAGCTTATCAGCTAAAACATTTTTCACTTTAATTGCATCTAAGAAGGTATATATACTCCAGTATCAAAACAATTAGAAAAATTCAGCCAGAAATAACAAACACAAAGTGTAAAAGAAACCAAAACCTTTTATTTAGTAACTTTTTTTTTTTTTTAAAAGAACATTACATTTTTCCTGAAGGGATAGCAACATGTCTAATCAATTTGATTTCCCTGGATGCATACATCACCTTAGAGCGAAGTTTTGCCACCCAACCCTCAAATGGATCCATCCATCACTAGATAGTCACCAATACAGTCTCCTGATTAATTCAAGTGCAAAGTCCATTTTGATATGATGATCAGTACCCAATTCTTCTCTGGTTTAATAACACGGGAGTCCATCTCTTAGACAGTTTTATCACAGCACTCATGCATTAGTCCAGTTCCTCAACCTCTCAATCAACAGTGGAACTGCCATCTTGATCTCTCATTCGTAGACTCCTTTTGACTCTCTTCATCTGACTTGATTCTTTATGGAAAATTAAAAGAAAAATGCTGTTGGAATACAGATAATCTTATCCTTAAACTAAGACATTCAACTACTGTACCTTGAAGATGTACTGTAAGCGTATCATTGATGCTTCTTTCAGTTTAAAACATCTCAGAACCCCTACTTTTATCACAAACTTACACGGKCACATCAGAACAAGAGTCAAAAATACAAACTTTAAGCAAAACTATAAAGATGTGGGGAAGGCATGATCAGAAATTCAAGAAAGCTTTCAGGCTGCATGAAATGATTTTTGAAATTCTTCATAGTGAAAGAGCACCAGAGAAATCAGTAGTGGGACATACAATCTCCTTGCCCTGGTAACCATCTTTATTGGACTGACCCATTGACTAAAGCCGCCACTTCACTTCTACGTGGCAAAGCAAGTGTATTACAATTAAGCCAAACTTTTTTACTACTGCCCATGCTCTGCTTCAATCACAGAAATACATTAAAAACAAAGGCATGAAAACCGATTTCCCATATGAATATGGTAACTGGAGACTTGGGAATCCCACCATCTTAATTCATGTTTCTACTTCATGAGAGATAGCAAAGACATTTAGAAACAAATTGATTAACTTAGCTACAGGTGGGAAAAGTTGTGTTAGATGTCAGTTGAAAAGTTACACTAGCTGCCTGTAGCAAGGCTACTGACCATACAGTCTAACTACACTCTTCAGAAAGCAGCAACCAAGCCCATGAGTGACAAAACCAGAAGTCATCAAATTACTTCCATATGGGGAAATACAAATTACACGTCCCCATCTTCATATTTTCTTCCAAGAATTTAAAAATCCAACATTCATGTCATGTATCTCTAAGAATACAAACAAAATTATTCCTAGCATGCAAAAGCCAAGTACAATAAATTACTAAATGGTTAAAAAAAGTAATTTTAAAAACACTACTAACTCTAGAAGAGACTAATATACAAAAGAGGACTTAAAAACATTCCTCATGATTTGGGGTTCCTGCTCTAACTCACAATTTATTTTCTTGGATTTGTATAAGCTTCAACCTCATTTCAGTCTGTCAACACCAGCACTATTTCTTTCCCATGATAATCTGGGCTTATTGTCACAGTACGTGGCACAGAAACTGCCACTACCCTTAGCAAAAATGAGTGGAGCCATCTAGTGGTCTCTCCCTCATCATTCAAGGTTAACCATTCTCGTTTCACAATAACCAGTCGCATAAAGGAGAAGGGCAATGGAATTTGTGCAAAAAGTCTCACTCTGTCTTTGGTAGCTGCCATATACATTACGCTTTACATTCCTGAATAGATTKTTTTGCTCATTTTAAATACACTGGTAAAAATGTATAGCACATAAGAGGAATGCAGGATCCAATGTGTGTTTTTACACTGCACAATATGTGAAGTAGCAGTAGTAATCAATCATAGCATCTTTTTAAAAGATAGAAATCAGCAAACAAATTTGCAGGGATTTCTTGTTTCACTCAACTTATTATGGAATTTGAAGATAAGTTAACATTTGAAGTATTTTTTAGTGCTAAGGTCTTGACTGATATACCAAAACCCACAAGTTGTCCATTGTCATAATCATTCACAATCAAGGGAGTGGCAGAACTCCTACATAATACTTTCAAAGATAATTTTTATAGCTCTTTTTAAGAAATACATTTAATTATTGGCTTGAACTCCACCCAGCTGCCAAAAAACTCAATTTAGTTATTTGTTAGTCCACCTTCAAAGGTTCATTTCTCTCAGGTTAGCTTCTGAGAGCTGCTAAAAATAACTTCGAGCAAATTTCTCTACCTCGTTCACCTATACTTGGTTGTAACAAAAACTTCACAAATACTCCTGCTGTGTTCATTTTAAGTCCTTCCCTTGACCTTGTAATTAGCAGCAAACAATAGTAATGATATAATTGAGAACGTGCTACTACAACCCTTGTTACAGACAGGATTCATATATCAAAAATATGCCAAACAGTAACAGCCAAAGTATTCACAGCAATCAGTAACCTTTCACATGAAATCTGCATTGGCATTAAAAGATTTCACAGAACTTTTTACTTAAATTGTGTTTTCAAAACATTTTAGTCAATACCTTTCAATATGTGCTGGTAAAAAATTACCCCTTCTCTGCTAAACATATGCAATGATTCTACACCTAAACAATGACAGTGAACATCCTTCCTTTTGATGAATGTTACGAATATTTAATTCCTTGCTTAGAAAATGCCCCATTAGGCACCCCCCATTCCTCAAGCTTCTCTTATCTACACTTTACTGTATTTGTTTCCAAACATTATTTTGGCCTTGATGAAAGCAGAACCTGGGAAGACAGCGTAATACTTTGCAAGCTGCCTTCCAAACACTGTTAACATGTCAACAATCTGCATCAACAGACAGAAGCCGTTCACTATCATGCCTAAAGGCTTAAAACAACAGTTTTGAAATGTCTCGGTTTACAAAGTTTTTGCTTCAGGTTTCTGTAGTATTTATTTGTTTCTCCAGATATTAAGAGGTCATAGAAACAAAGCACATCTCTTATGACCAAAACCATGGCCTCGGGAATCTTGTGTCTACTGAAACTCTGCCTTTCCTAAGGATGAGGCTGAAGGCCAATCACAACACATCTATCAACTACGCAGCAATACATGCACGTAAGACACYGCTACATTTACAATGGTTTCCAGGGAGAATTCTCAGGCTTTGAAGCTTGGTCTTGGAGAAAAGAAAAATTGCACACTGCTAGTAAAGGAAAACTACTTCAAAWAACTCCAACAGAGGGAGCTGACTGGACAGAATGGGGTTCTGAAGTATGTAACTTCAGGCTTTGTCCCTCCAAATGGTATTAAAGCAACATTATGTTCAAAGAGAAATCTCTAATAGAAAAAATCAGCTATGTCCTTTATTGATGAACTAAGTCAGCAATAAGGCTGTCTTTAGTATTTAAAAAAAAATGGACAAGTATTCTGCACAGTCTTAAAACCACTTTCACTGCCATTAGGTGTTCATGACAGCTTGTGTGTAAGATCAGGTCATCTTAGCTAAGCAAGGGCATTCACCCTTGCAAACCCCTCCAGGGTTTCCTGGAGTTAGAAATTAATTTGAGGTATTACCAAGGTTTTTATTCAGCCATGCACTCTTTTTTAAAAACTGTCCAAAAGAACTACAATCAAGTAGATCTGAATTCTAAAGTTAGAAAGTGCTAGAAGAACTAAACATGAGCTGTTAGCCAACAGAATTCAAGACCAGAATCTTTCTAGATGCATCCATTTGGACATCCATTTGTTCTTTCACAAATGCACTTCGGAGTCAGACATTTTGAAGACTACTATTCCTTTCTAAGAGAATTCAGAGTTTCACATCAACCCCATCTCCTGGGTAAAGATGATGAAACAGTAAAGAATGGAAAAATTACTGGATACATAACTAAAGTCATCAATTGTTGCTCAAGAAACTTCAATCTGACACAGGTCATCTATAATCCAATGAGAGAAAATAGAAGCACACAGAAGAGGGAGAAAATGGAAGTAAAGGTAACACAAGAACAGAATGTATTAATCAGTCACAGGAGTTCCTATTGTTCAGGGATTACAGCAGARGATTAGGGAAAACTGGCAACACAATGGCCTACAACATAGCAGGAGTTCTGAGGAATAGTTTGAAGAAGTGRAGATTACTTGTAACATAGGAAATTTGTCATTCCACAGCACACTGGAAGGAAAAAAAAGATCTGAAGAGCTCTGAAAGAACACAGTAATAAATTTCCAGAACACAAGAGAAAAGATGAGACTCACTAATCAGACCATCAAATCTGCGAGCAGGTAGGCATAACAAGAACTTCATTCCTGAAAGATGGTAATTTCCATTTTTGCTTGAAGACCAAATACTTGTAAATTGATTAAAAAAGAGCAGTACCAGACAATGAGAGCACGTTCTGACCCAGCTAGCACCTACCTTACCTACACACATTCCTTTATCCTTTCAAAGAGAGCTCTACATTAGTCTTGACACTGTGTGCATGAATCAAAAAAAAAAAAGAAGATACTTGGGAATACAAAGAAAGAGTAGCTAGTTTTTTGGCACCTGAAGCAGGAAAGATGGCATTTTGTACTACAAGTCGGGCATGTTTGCTGGAGGTCTCTACTAACATAAYAGCCATGAAACAATTAAAGATTACCAGCTTCTAGCCAATGAAGTGATGGAATTCTTSAATCTTGAACTAACATTATTTCGAGATGTCTGCAGTATTTCTCAAACAGGCAGCAGATTAAACTGAAAGGACTGTCCAGGAAACTGCCTTTTTTTTTTGAAGCATAGCTCTACAGGAGTAGTTTTCACTGAAATGCATCATTTCATGTATACAAACTGCAATGGATGCCCTACTTAATTGTGAAAAATCAAGGAGTCAGAATTCTAAAAAGATAAGAGAATCTGAGTCCTTCCAGAGAAAACTCCCAAGAGTCACAGCACATGCTAGAGGCAAGCAAAAGGTTATCAAAACTGAACTACTTTTGAAAAGTAAACTCAAGAGAAGTCAATGAATGTGCATGAATCTCCATATTCATCCATTAGTATACAATTGAATGAATTTCTCTACACAAGACTGCCAACTTTGCATTTGGATTATATGGGGAATGATTCCTAAATGAGATATACAAGCTAYGAGTTCAGTAAGGCAAACTGCATCAGTGTTACACATCATGTTATGCAAAGTCAAAACATTCTGGATCAAGACAAACTGAAATAACCACAGAACAGTCACATAAGAAAGTTYTATGAAGACAGGTTACTTGCTATCTGCTCAAATACCTTCTCTGATGCCAACAGAAACATAAAAGGACAACATAAGACGCATATGAAAAATTCATGCTGCTAAGAGACTTTCCACACCRTTTGCTATCTAAACTGTGTGTAGCACTTCTCTGTAGTGATAGGTTTTTGCATACCAAACCCTTCTGAGCAAGCAATATATGTGCCTTAACAGTCCTCAAAGTCCTCTATAAGTCAAGTCACAGATGCAGAAGTTCAGAGTCCTGTAACAAGATATGCGAGCTCTTCTGGAGCAGGACAGGCTGAATGTCCTAACCAAGAGCAACCTTTGTTTCCTAACAGCATGAATGATACTGTGGCCTTCAAAGTGAGCCTTTTAGAAATATACACATGCACACACAGCCTGCAGGATATATTTAGTCAAAAGCTTCAGGAAGATAAACATTGTAACATTTACTTTAGCTTTTAACAAAAATATGGCTATTAGCAGTAACAACTTACCAAAGCTTCAACCAACAGCAGTTAATTTGTTAAGACTGAGAAAATCATCTCCTCAACACATCTGCAGGGAAAATGATACATTAAAATACTTGAATTAAAAACAAACACACACGCTTATCTAGAAGACCAGCACACTAGCCTGAGTTCTGCCTAAAACATTTATCCTTCAATGAAAATATTCCCAACAGATCACAGCATATGGTATGGAACACAYTGGTATCAAAACCTTGGCCATGAAATACCACTAGGCAATCTGTCATTGAAGAATCTGTGCAAACTGCACAAAAGTCCAAAGGCAGCCATGCACACAAATCCTTTGGGAAACCAAGTAACAAAAAAAGCAGACAAAAAGACTACTCCAGCAGCAAGTGCAAGAATGCTGAAAATAATTCACATGATCTCCACACACAAAAAAAACACAAAATTAAATATTCATTTTACTTTGAGATTATATCAATTAGACACAACAAAACTAACACATTGGCATTAATTTATTCTAAAACTCATAATCAATATATAGTATATATTCAAGCTCAAAAACTGAAAATTCAATTTGGAAAATGTTTACTGGTGACTCACAATAGTCTTTTAATCAAGTCACCTTAAGCAGAGGTAGTAGAAAATCAAAAATAAGACCTAAAACAACTCCAACTCCCCCTTTTTTGGGGGGCTGTAAAATTCATCTGCATTATATAATCCACTCTCATGAGCCATTTATCCTAAGATACAAGCAAATTGCTTTTTCTGTAATCTCTCAGAAACTGATGTACATAAATACAACCTCACATTTGTGAAAATTAATGTATTTAGTGATAGTATACTGTACATATTTTTTAAAATTCATCTTTATTTTGATAGCTACTCAGCTATGCAGGAAGATCTCTGAAAAGAACTGTAATTACTTTGATATTAACATATGAAACTATCAATATGGAAAAAGACACCTTCAAAAAGGTGAAGTTTAAGTTTACAGTGGTAAACTGGCACGAACACGTCAGTTATCCARAAGAACAGGAAATCTACTGTTTCAAAACATGCATTTAAAATGCAATCCAACCGCAGTTTATTAAATGAAAGCGAGATGAGCGATGTACTTTAAAATGGAGGTTGGACATTTTGTGCTATAAATACAACATGGCTGCYAGTCTTTGCTCACACAGAAGCCATCTACGGAGTTATGAGCACAGAGGAACAGCTTCCTCTGCTGAAAGGAGGGTTGTTAAATCAACCACTGAGTATCATTTTCAACTCAGCAAAATTTTTGAAAAGCAATCTGATGTTTGTCAGAATGAAGCTGCTATGAAGCAGTAAAACTTTTCTACTCTGGAGTGARTGGATGAACCAAAAAATGACTTTGTCAAAATAGCATAAAGATGGCCATAACCTGTAACATTTCATGCATACAAACACTAGCAAACATTTTCCCAGCACTTTCAGACATGCTAGTGCATTTTCAGTRTCCAAGTTAAATGTATATTGACAAAGTAATATGAGAATCACATTTATCTATTACTTAACTATAAAATGCATCATGAATTGTGAACCTTAGGCCAAGAGCCATAAAAATGGAGCTAGTAAATGCTAGTTTCAATTGACCAATTTTAGCTTTTCAGGTTAACATCTAAACTTCCAGTTTAACATTTATTTTCTGGGTCAAATTAAAAGCTTTTAATCAGATTACCTAAGTAATTTTAGAGGTAGCTTTTACAATTACATTTCATTCTAATTTAGAAATGAATACAATCTGGTCTATTCCACAGCAAATATGCCTTGCATCATATTTTGCATCATGCAGACATCCATGAGTCTTCACTTAAGTTTGCATTGCCAGCTCTAAGAGAAAAGCACCTTTTATCATCAGAAAATCTCCTTTTAGAGCACAAGGTGATGTCAGCTGCTCTAGAGCTATTTACTTGACAKTAAATTCTTTCTCAGGATAAATTATTGGGGAAAGAGACATAAGGCATCATAATGCCAATGATTTTCCGGGTACTTTGTCTGATTTTATGCCATATTAAAATACTGCAGAGGGGTCAAAAAGTTAAGTCTTTGAGTCCCCATTAATGTGCACATAGACCACCACGATCTACACAGCCTAAAGAGCAAACTGCTATTTAGCAGATAAAAAGATGTTCTTCCAATAAGAAAAGGCTCTAAAAAGCACACAAAAGGAACACAGGACATTTAAAACCATTTTTATTATAGTATCTGTTGTGCACAAACAGCGTCATGATATAGGAAGTAGGTAAGATAATTAGGTTGAAAGAGCTGCATTTCACACGCATAATAAAATACTTAAGTTGGTCAAAATGACTCAGCCTGTGAGCACCACGTATATACACATACATAAATGCATATATATAACGAGGTCAATTAAAACTCGTAACTCTAAAAACTTAATAGTAGGAATACAAATCTTSAATTTCACAAGCTTAATCCCATCAATACTATTAGGGTTTAATTGAATTAGTCTATTCTTGACTTTGTCATAACAGACTTTAATGTGTCTAGTGATTCTGACCCTCTAATATGAGGATCATAAGGAATATCCACTATGTTTCAAATATATAAAATAATTTCTAATATGGAATACTCAACTTTCACAACAGATAATTAGATAATGAAGATMCAAAACGTATGCAACACCTTCATTCATTCATTCATCATTAGCTCTGCTTTGCTGCAGGACATCCATGCTATACGACACATGGATATTCTCTATAAAAGATTATTTGCCTTCTTTTTAGCATTCCAACAGGAACTCAGTGCAGATAAAGGCTTGTTACAATTTAAATGATATCGTTAAAAGCTTAATCAAAATGGGTCTATGAGTCTTCTCATAAGACGAGGTAAGTTAACATCCAAGTCAAACACTACCTGAACTCAGGTGTAGCTTAAAAAAAGAAAAAAGAAAAATACAAATCTTAACTTTTTATTTAGTTTGTCATAACTTATCAAAAACATTCTTGAGAATTCTGATACTCATGTCTCCCTCAAGATGCCTTAAGTTTTTAATGTGTTGAAATTATTTGAGGTACATTAGCATGGCAACCTGTGAAAAGGAACCAGTTAAGACAGACAGACAAGATTTCTAACTTTTAATTACATGATGATTAAAATAGCACTTGTGAGTCTGTTTAAATACAGAACATTAAAATAAGTCTCAAAGGAGAGAAAGAAAAAAGAAAAAGACAGAAAAAAACTGATTTGTTTGTATTACAGGAGAGACAGTAAAATTTTTCACATTGACTTGGCTTTTTTTTTTTAAAGAGTAAAACTTAGAAATGACTTTTCAGTATAACGTAAAAATACCACAGAAAAGCTTAYGGAAGTCACTTAGTAAATATCTTGAAGCAATGATTTGAAATGAGGGAAATTTATTTCTAATGTTTGATTAGACTGCACACGCTTAGTAGGGATGGCAATGTTAATAAACACAGCTTTATTTTTATGYTGTGTGGTAAAGTTATTTCAAATCTTCAAAATTATATGTTTTACTTATGAACRGCTATATAATCTTAATAGCTGTGTAAAGGCACGTTAGCATTACTGTATTCAGTACACGCTAGAAGTTTTCAAATAAGGCTTAAAGAATATTCAGCAAAGAAAAAATGTAGCTGAAAAGTTCAGTGTTTACACCGCTCAAAAATGCCTCTTAGCGTAACAAAATCTAAAAAACCTACCTGATTTGACACAGCACCAAATTCTGATCATGGTTTTCTACTCAGCCATCTGATTCTTCATCAGTAACTTAACATCCAGTATCAGCCTTTAAAGAAAAAAGTTTCAGACAACAAAGGTACACAGAGATTCTACCCACAGTTCTACTGTTCTTGACTAAAATAGGGTGATTTGTGATTGATAAAAAACTTACCTATAGTACAGATTAAAAAAGGGCTTATTTGCCAAGTATTAGCATGCAAATCTCCAAAAGAAGAAAAAGTCCCCCAAAAGCTTCTTATGTGTGTGTGTGTGTGTGTGTATATATATATATATATATATATATACACAAGCCTCAGGTCTAGAATTTTACAGTCACGTAAAAACTCTACAGTACGCTCAACTTTTAACAATAAAAACTCATTAAATACCAAATACCAACAATTTATGAAGTTCATTGAATACTTGCATTTGTGAAAAGAGCCAAATGAAACATTTCAGCTTCTGCAAACGTACGGCAATTTCCCATCAAATACAATGCAAACATATATACACTAATCTGCTTTATAGTTAACTTCAAAAAGGTAAAGTTGATACAAAATTAGCAGCACAAGTGATGCATTAATTTTTATAAAACAGTCTACAACAACAACAACAAAAACAAAAAAAAGGCAAAAAAGCACAAATGGTTTTAAAAAGAAAGATTAAGTAATTTTGTAAAATATGCTTCTTATGATTTAAATTGGAATTTTTTTTCCCCTCCCTCTGTCTGGACATCACCAAAAAAAAGCAAATCCCAAAATCAAAAAATACCCTGAACATACTGCTATAAGTTATAATAACCACTCTTACCTAAGAAAACAAGGTATGTACGATTCTTCTGGTACGATTCATCGGGAAGCCAGTCAGGAAATAAAGTATCATTCACAAAACTCTACCTAAAAAAAAAAGAAAAAAAGAAGTATGCACATTTTCAGTATTTACCTTTAAAATCGAAGATTAAGTCGGATGCTTGAATTCTGTTCATTTTATGCTAAAAATTTGTTTATCTTTAGACAATTATTAAGTTAGGAAAAACTTTGGACAGCAGTAACTATATCTTTGGGGCTCAGCTCTAAAAATAAAAGTATAGATGGCTGTACATATTTGGCTAAAAAAGTGTAGATGAAGAGTGACTGACATATAACATATATGTTCTGTATTTTTGTATGTACAGCTGTAATGCGCTTTTCCACCTCCAATTCATTTTGGATGACCATAAGATCAAGTATCTGCACAATTTAAGCTTTTTTTTCCAAGTGTAACTTGTTTTTTTAAATCATACAATACTCTCTAATCCTTGTAYTTTTTTCCCTATTAAAGCCCTTAGAAATAAAGGCTTTGCAACATTAAATAATACCTCTAGTGATAGTAAAGTACTTTTAAAATGGCTTCTGTCATCAGCTGCTGTGAATTTTAAGTCACAAGTTACTTGATCTCTCCAAATATTTTTTTTGCCCTTTAGAACATAGTTTTAAAACCTTCGGCATCACTGACCTTTAATCAGATCCTAAACTATGCCTTTAACACAAGGTACAGCATATTTGCATTGCCATTAACCAACTTTTCCGTTCTTTGTGAAAATCTAATTTTGCAAGACAATTTTGTACTGCAAAAGTATGAAAACATCCTCTATATATTTACACACAGATAATTTTAAAGCTTGTTTTATATTTAGATAGATCTCAACATAAATTAAAAACTCCAGTAGCTCCTAACATATATATGTATGCCGATCCTTTAAATAAAACACATTTAGAATTAAGAGCAGKATTATTTTCAGCAACACTTAATGGCTGTTTTAATTTAAGGAGCTAAAACAAATCCACTCTTATTTAAAAAATTACTCTCTGATATATTTTAAAAAATAATACTACTAAAACAAACACCCACCTAGAGCTAGAACTTTCTTTTCATCAAACTATGTATATCAGAACCTGCTTTACACTGCAGAAGTACTGCTTGGGTTATAAACCATTTAAGCCAAATCTAAAATGAAGATGCTGAGCACTTTGAATAAAGGTGATAAAACTGCAATGGTTGCTCAAACTTGTACTCAATATATTTCTATAAAAGCCAACTTTCATTGTTGGCAAAAACAAACTGTATTTACAAAAGGAGCAACCAAAAACATAGATTTACTTCCAATTCTGACATTTAAAAGCTGAGTTTTATAATCTGGTAAGAGTCTCTACCAGAAAATGCAACAAATACGGCTATATATGTAGCCTTCAATTGAATATAAGAAGTTCACTATTTTATATTTACCTCYTGACATTCTACAGTGACTTTTTAAATAAATATTTGCAATTTAATTTTTACTCCAAAGCTAGTAATTGTTGAATGCAAGCCAATGCAAAACAAACATCAGGCGTTCCATTTAAACTTTTATTTTTAGAAAGTCTCCTAATACATATTGTACAACTTCTAAATTACTAACCAAAAAAAATGCTACATAAATACAAATGATTTCAAGCTCCCTGAGAAAGGCATAAACCGAATGCTAAGACCAGAAATGACACCCAACAAATGCTTTTTAAAAAAGCTTTWATGTCATACACAAATCCATTAGTTTCCATATCTTGTAATCCACGTTTAAGTAACCTTTTCTTCTCGTAGTATGTCTAGATGACATCTGTAGTRTTTTGCGAACTTTAAACTGCAGACTTGGAACAACCGAATTTGTTTTTTTCTTAAATACTGGCAAGTTCTTCTATTGCCATTTTAATCGCAAAATCACATTGTGCATAATTCTCAGAGTTCCCTTTAAAGTTCTGCTCTCAAACTACTGTTTTAAAAGCGAACCATTTAAAAAATATATATATTTCGAGTAAAGAACCAAGCTGTCGCATTTGCGGCTTTTTTATTTCTCCTCTTTCTCTCCTTACTGGTTTGGAAAGAGTTAAAAGCCAACACCCCGAAAAAAAAAAAAAAGCAAGTTTTATTTTTTAGAGAAAAGGAGATGGCGTCTTTGTTCTTACAAACTCCGCAAACGTCTCCCCCGTTGGAGCAGCAAACGGGGGACCAACGCTGCTGGGGCGGAGAGGGGCTCCGGGCTGCGCGCTGGGGCGATGATGCAGCGGGGCTCCCGCAGCCCCCTCCCGCTCAGTGCTGCATTGGAGTCGGGAGCCGCTCTGCGGGTGCCCCCGCCGCGCCGCAGGGCAGCGGGGCTGCGCATCGCCCCCCTCCCGGCTGCCGCAGCGGGCGGCGCGCAGCGGAGCGGAGCCCCCGCGCCCGGCGCCGCGCGGGGCAGCGCGGAGCGGAGCCCCCTCGCTGCTGCGGGAGCCGCCGAGGGCGGCGGGGGGGACGGGGCAGCGCTCCGCGGCTCCGCGCTCCCCTGCGCCGAGTCCCCCTCCCCGAGCGCCGCGGGACCCCCGCACCCCAGAGCGGGGCCCCGACTCGGGGAGCCGCCGGGTGCCCGCGCGGAGCGGAGCGCGAGGCGGGAGCGGGGACGCGAGGGAGAGGCAGGCACCCCCTCCCCCTCCCGGCTCCAAGGACATTTTGTTTTTCCTCCCAAGGACAAAGGACAATGAGGGAGACGCGCGGGGACTCGGGCACTTACCGGCCAAGAGCAGCGGCGCCGCTGGGCGACGGCGGCTG